ACAAATGAACACCACATCTTTTCGCTTAAATGCGGCGGAGCGTGTCCCTGTGTTGTTTCCCTGCGCGCTGGTAACTGCCGAGAGTGAAGTGATAAATGCGCCTTTTTTTTTTTTTTTTTCTTTTTTTTCTCCCGCCGTGGGCATAGAACGACCATCAATGCTCATTTTTGTTATTTTTATTCATCATCTTTCTTTCACTTCATTAGCAGTGTAAAACGGGTTGTTGCAATACATTAGCATACTAAGAGGACCGTATGATAAACTGTGTGTATGGGTGGAGAGGGTGCCTGAAGTTTCGAGAGGAGTGCAAGGAGAACAGAAATTGGAGGAGGGGAGCAAATGTGCATACAATCCGATTTTAAAAAGGCATTGATCCATTCTTAGAATGGAAGAGGAAGGAAAGTATACACGTGCTTTGAGTAACAATGTAAATAATCAGAAGTAGAAATAATAGGGATACTATTCAGTACTTACTGGTTTCTTCTTCCAGAATGATAAGGGAATAGTTTAAGAGAAGAATGTTGTTCTGTAAAAGATACCACAGGTGCTAATTTCTCTTGTTACATCGACTGCTTAAATGCTATAACTTACTCAGAAGTTGCTTTATTGTGGGCAGAAATTACGTTTTGCAGTATGCTGTACCAAAATATTGTGAACTCTGGAACAGGTTATTCATGGCTAGATAGTATTTGCCAGACTTGATTAAGGCAGTGGTCCATCAGGCTTAGCATTCTGCCGCCAGCAGCGCCCACTTCCTTGTGCTTTAGTCAAGAGTGTTATCAGATGACCTGAAGTAAATCATGAAGTTGAACATGCCAGTGATATCACGTAAGTGCTACTAACTGCAAATTTTGACATATTATGACAACTAGGAAAGCATTTTTGGAGGAAAAAAAGCCCTCTGCGTATCTGTAAAAAGAATTTAATTCTGATATGAATGATTTTCTGGAGAAGCTACGGTAACATGCAGATGGGTCTCTACTGTGCTAATTATTTTCATAAGCAAATAAAAGTCAGAAATGAGCGATACTGAAGTGACTTATTCTGTCCCTTCTCCTAAGTGAAGCTAAAGGATCAGCCTTCATGTAATAACGTTTTCTTGCACTGTTGAAGGATTGTAACTGCTGTGGTGACAGTCACAATGAACGAATTGCTGGGGATGTACGGAGAAGGAAACAGGATTGTGTATACGGCTTCATTATTAATAAAGCCAGATTGTCAACTGCCTGTTACTGGAATTCTCAGCAGTTTCACTTTTTTTAGTCTCATGCTATGTCTTAAAAACTAGTAAATTGTCAGAGTCTGATCCTAGAAAATATTGAACAATTTCTGCAGGTTCTTAATGTTCTTACCTGCTAGTAGAGCAGGGAACTCTCAGCACCCACAAAAATTCTTAGGTTTTAAGAGCAGCATGGATTATTAGGATTATCTAATGTACCACCATACGTGACAAATGATGGCACTTCATACTGAAACAAAATGTCTTACTTAAAATTACTCTGCATCTGTCAGGTTGGTGACCTACTCACAAAATGGACAACAGTTGTCCAAACCCAGAGCAGCATTTGTCAGAGGCTCTAGCCAAGAATGATTACCACTAGGTTACAAAAACTAACAGGGACAGAAGGAGTGAGTACCTATGAAGATAGAGTTTTTCAGAAATTGTGTTTATAAGTGAGTAATCTTTTCATATTCATCATAAAATCGCTCCATCAGTCTTTGTCCTTGAAAATCCTGAAGTGGCAATTGCTTTGGACAGAGTAAACAAGCAATGCAGAAGGATCCTTATGCCAAGGACAGGTAGAAGAAATTAGATGCAAATATTTGCACTTCAGATTTCATTCAGCCAGAAGGAAGCTTTCTCCAGAAGCTACACAGGTTCTGGAGTGAGATGTCTATTTACATTTAAAAAACCAAAAAAGCAAAACCTATAGTAATGTCAAGTCTATAGTTTAAAAAAAATTGACAGTTATATAAGATTGAAAATCTCAAAGCTTTAACAGTCCTATTATTAAAAAATTATGTAAACCAGACCTTTATTTTTTAATAGGAACATGTTGATTTTGAGGTAGTGTTATATGATCAAGTTATACTGATGTAAAATTATCACATGAGTGTTTGGTCTCATTTTTTCCTTACTGGAACAAGAGATAAATGCGTAACAGTACACAACTTCAAACAGGTTATGGTACTTTGACTACACCAGAACATCAGTAAGTAAAATAGGATTAAGTCTGTTTATAAGACCCCAAACACTTACAGATTATCTGGGTTTTGATGAAAAGAACAAAATTATTTCCAATGAAACCATTTTAAGTGAAAGGGAGGTGTAAGGCCCACAGGTATTCAATCTTATAAAAGTGCATGAAGCTCACCTCCTGTTTAACACCAGTGGAGTCCTTTTTACGTTCTTACAGTTGCTTCGTTGTTCTAGCTGAATTCAACCAGTATGAGGTCTTTTGAGGAAAAAGACGATGCTTTGTTCAGGAGGTGACTGAAAAGTGCTTTACTACTCTAATAGTGCATTATGTGCCAGCTGCAACAGAAGCTAAAACATTCCTGAAAACCAGGAAGGTGTTCTGTCCCCATTCCTCCACACACGCTCCTTGTGGTTAATCAGGATTTTAAATACCTAGTGAGGCTGATGCTGCTGTGTCACACTCAAGATATGGGATATGCATGGACAAAGCTAAGTTCTCCATGACCTGCTTTTGTGTGGAGTTGATGAAATAGCTACTTTTCATAAAATCAACCATTCAGGGTGTTTTCATGCGGAACAGAAATTCAAACCTGATTTAGCAGGCTGACTGGGTTGTGTTAACTGATCCGCTGCAACACAGAAGGTTGTGACTCTTTGTTTATAAATTGCCGCTCTTAACTTCTAGATGCTAAATTGCACAACTGTTAGTATCAGAGCATGAAGAGCAGGACCAAAAGTCTGAAGCAAGTCCTAACCCTTGAGATTCTTGTTCTCATCTGCCACTGCAATGAATACAGGACTACTGCTTCCTAACGTCTTTTGTAGTAGGAAAAGGCTTTCAGACAAGAAATAAGTGAAATTTAATCTACTCTGGAAAAATAAATTCCCAGTTCTTGAGTGTAAAGTGGAAGCTCTGTTACATATGCTGTCCACAATGGGCAGTAAATTAAAATTTAATGGAGATTTTCCTGTGCACGTAACAGAAAAAAGAAAAATCAACAAAACCCAAGAAAGTCAGAGCAAGATTCAGATTCTCTGGGCTTATAGGAACTGGAAAAAAAATAAAGACTGGTAAACTGAATGCCTTTAAATAACTAGAAAACATCATGAAAACCTAAAACTTTCATAATGCAAAGGAAATTAAGTTATTAGAATAGAAAATATTTCTCTTTTATGACAAAATAGATTTCAGACAATAAACTGACTGTTCTGTGTTAACTTATTTTGATTTTCATTTGGGTTTCTCCCAGAATTCAGTTGTACTTCTAGACGCAAAAAGGTAAACATCCATACTAGATTCTTAGCTAGTATTATGCCCTATATCAAAGAAAAATTGAAGGAAAGGGGTATTTTCCTATTTGTTTACTTTATATCTCTGACAGAACTTTCTGTAGATTTTTTTTCTCATTGCTACCAGTTACTACTTTCCATTTGTTCTGACTCAGTCATTTAGAGAATAGTTGGGGATTTGTTTGTTTGTTTGTTTGTTTGGTCTTTTTTAAGGAATAGTGCTTTTAAACCCATAACAACAAGTGAAGATATGCAGAATAAATATGGTGCAACTTTAATTTTATGAAGTTAATCTGATTTCAGGTTGATAGTACTTCTTTAAGTTTGGACCTGCCACGGTCACATCAATCCTGTATTTATACTTATAGAAATAGTTGATTACTGTTTTGCTAATATGACATATAATTCAGAAAAGACTTTATTTCATATTCCATAAAGTCAATGCCAATGTTTCCAGAGCTCTTCGTAATGCATAGCTGCATCCTAAAAAATAAGTAACAAGTGCTGTGTTTGAAGTTTCTTTTTTTTTTACAAAGGAATCTCACACCTATGCTGTTTGCAGTGAAATTCTGGATAATGTACAGTAGCGTAACTGTTCCATATTAACATGTATCATTCCCTTTACAGAATCTTCTGGGAAAGAAAAGCACCATTGGACAAACTTTAAAATAATTTTAAACTTTACTGTCTATGAAGGTGAAACTGACCCAGGTACTCTTAAGCCTAAATCAAGGTATGTTGAAGTCAGCAGAGCAACTGCACTGATTTCAGTGGTATTCAATCGAAATTATCTTTTATGTCCCAGTCTGTTTTCTGGGAAAATATATATACACATATACACATACACACACACTTTTATGAAGTTCTTTTATAGTAATTGTTTCTATTTGCTTCACCTCACTCCCAAGCAAATAGCAGATATAGTGTCTCTCTCTTGTTACTCTGTTTCTTTTGTTATACTTCTCCATTTATTGCCCTGCAGTATGAATGCTGAATAAGACTATGAAAAGCCTTAAATGAAATGTAGACCTGTATAATTAATATCTGCTATCCTTTCTAGAAGTATTAGAGCACAGGATGTATCACTCCTCCCCTCTTAGCCTTACACATTTAGATTTTAATTCATCTAAGGACACCTTTCACTACTCCAGTGAAAAAGAGGATACTCTACCTGATCAAAACAAGACCTTTTGTTTCCATTAGAAGCACCTGTCTTAGACATGGAAGGTTTAATTGTTTTCAGAATAGCTTCATTAACTTCTGAAAGTGTTACCGATACAGGCCTCCCTAGAGCCAGGATGCTAATTAGAAGGAAAACTGGCCTTACAGTAGTTGAAGAATTGTGTCTTCTTTAAGAGAGCGGGAAGGCTCATTCAGTCATTAACAGAGTGTTTCTGCCAGAAAGTAGGAATGACTGCCAGTTATATGAACTCGGAGAATACCTGTGACATGAGTTATTCCCACAGCCAAATAGCCTCTTCAGACAACGAACAACAGTAAGCCTAATAATGATTAAGTAAACAATGTTAAGATGTCCATCGAGTTCCATGCAGACCAAGCAATGTCCTTTATGGCCAGCATCATCTGTCAGCTCTGATGTCCCTAACTCGCTGGGTTAGGCAGGTTTGGAGGGTGCCGTATGAATGCTTGGATTGCTTCCTTAGGCAGCCAGAGTGTCCGTAGCAACACGTCTGGCCTTTGTCACATTTATGCTGATTTTATATTAAAACTCTTGTTAAGTCTGACCAAAAAAATCTATACAGGACTAAAGATTAAGTGTAAATATAAAATGTAAACAAAATTAAAAGACAGATGAATGATAAAAACATAGATCCTATTACAAGTTAATGCATTATATCAAGACTTGTTAAAATAATTTTAAGTTTTGTATCAATGGTCAGGCCTTTAGAAACTATATTAAAAAATACCTGAATTAAAAATAGGCACTGCAGGGAAGGAAATTACCCCAAACTTACTTATAAGAATCACTACCTAATGAGTCAAATAGGAGTATTTTTGGCCAAAAATAAATGACCGTAATTCTCAGTACCATTATATCAAGACTTGTTAAAATAATTTTAAGTTTTGTATCAATGGTCAGGCCTTTAGAAACTATATTAAAAAATACCTGAATTAAAAATAGGCACTGCAGGGAAGGAAATTACCCCAAACTTACTTATAAGAATCACTACCTAATGAGTCAAATAGGAGTATTTTTGGCCAAAAATAAATGACCGTAATTCTCAGTCAGATCCTAGAACTTCCATATTTTTTCCCAATGAGGGCTATTCTTTTAGATATTTTCTAGAGGATTTCTCTAGAAAGCAGAAATGCATTATAGCTGCTACTATCCAATGAAGGGAGGGTTAAATAAAACCCAGATCCTGTCTAATGACTCAGGCTTATTTGCTTTTTGGCCATTGCAACAGTAAGACTGCCCAATATGAATCTTTTCTGGCAGTTTAACAAAATTGACAGAAGAAAGTCCACTTTCATGTCCTTGTCAGACAAAAGCACAATGGAAATATATGTACATGCTTCTGAATATAAACAGGGAGCATAGTCCGAACAGCCAAGCATACAAACATGAACTCATTTAGTGGCCACAAGTGGTTGTGTATCTCAGAAGTGTGCTGTGAATAAACTAAAATGTTCCTTTGCTGGGGCTGAGATGCGACTGTGAGATGCATCCAGCTCTCTGGCCAAGACTGTCAATGCTAAAGAAAGTTTCTATGTTCTTGCTGGCATCTGAGAAGTTGTGAGCTATGATCTGGACTTGCTACGTTGGCAAAAGAATAGGAAAGGTCACCCCATCTCAGCAGTGAAACTGTCAGTAACAAAAGGATAATCCTCCTCAGTCTCAACAGCAGTTACAGGCAAGCTGATGTTACAGGTCAAGCAACAAGGCAAGACCAATACTAGTGGCAATGAACCTGTCAACATTAAACACCTCCTTTTCAGAGAAGTACTTCAACACTTCAATATTTTGTGATTCGGGCTGTATCTTGACACAGTAGGGTTTTTTCCATTGATTGTTAGGTGCAACTAAAGCTGTCAGACATACCAGAGGCCAAGCAGACAAAGACAGACCCAGAAAAAGGACAGTCCTTCAAAGTCTGAAGGTGACATTGAAGGAATCCAGCAACAAGAAAGCCCAACCAATTCAATAGGTATTTTACACTCTGTTTGTGTACTTGCATTTCTGAGCTTGGCAGCCACACAGGTGCTGGCATTGCTACTTACTCTAAAATTGCAGTCTGTATCAGATGTGTACTGAGGAAAAGAATAAGCTTTTACTACCGTGGGTGGCATCAGAATTCACAGTTCCTGCAGCACCTAAAAGAAATGACCAGACCGAACGAAGTTTCCAATGAAATCAGCATGTGTTTAAGTCAGTTAAAAGACGAATTTCATCTACAGAGAGGGAAAATAATTTTAAACATCACTTCTCCAATCAACACACAAGATCTCAGTGCTGGAATTGGAAATTACACTGGCATGGTGCCCTTTGCCCGCATTGACAATATTTCCAAGTGTGCTGCCTTATTGTTTCTACGCCAGCTTGATATTACAGCAGTTCCAATGAGAGGGAATAGCTTGAGAGATTTCTCCAGTACCAGACTTGATGCCAATGGCTTTTTGAAACTTTTTCCCACCTTCTTCCACTCAGCATAACCAAACGCAAAATAGATGCAGCCAAGACAAGTGATCATCAGCAGGAGGTACTGTATTTCCTTACCTTCTCCCAGATCAAGGTGAAAAAGATACCACTCCTTGAGAATGGGCTTTATATGCCAAATACAGTGGTAGCTTAGCTATGGCAATTACTAGGCTGTAATATAGGAAGGAGTCTTACCCTGTTTTTATCAATTAGCTCATTGAAAGGAAGGACTAGTTGCAAATCCTCTTTCTGCAGGATAATCTGTGACAAGTTTGAGAGGTGGTGGGCCATATATTACTGGGTGGCCAGCAACTGGAGCCTCAAAACTAGTGATGGATTAAGAAATCCTCTCAGAATTCTGCTAGGGGACAATGCCACCAGCATGTGAGCATAAAAAAAATGGATTTTACTTATGTAAGCCTTTAAAAATCCATATGCTTAGTAGAGAGTTGATAAAAGGGAAGAGCTGTATCCTTAAAGAATCTATACCCATAAAGTAAGCTCAGACCTCTTCTTCTTCCTTGACTAGTCTAACACAGCAGCTATGAAAACTCACTCTCCTTTGAATTGTTACCAGGCTTTGCATCTGCTGATCCCTGACAGAAAATGATTTTTTTTTTAATTATTTTTTTTTCTTCCTTCTTTTCTATCTACCACTGCAGGAGCAAACTGAGTTTTTTCAAACTGGTTACCCCTCTCTACTCAAGCCCAGATAGGGATGGATACTGGAATTAACAATAGTGAGTTTATTTCTTCCATAGGAGACAGAAAGAGAACAGCTGTATCCTTAAAGAATCTATACCCATAAAGTAAGCTCAGACCTCTTCTTCTTCCTTGACTAGTCTAACACAGCAGCTATGAAAGCTCACTCTCCTTTGAATTGTTACCAGGCTTTGCATCTGCTGATCCCTGACAGAAAATGATTTTTTTTTTAATTATTTTTTTTTCTTCTTCTTCTTTTCTATCTACCACTGCAGGAGCAAACTGAGTTTTTCCAAACTGGTTACCCCTCTCTACTCAAGCCCAGATAGGGATGGATACTGGAATTAACAATAGTGAGTTTATTTCTTCCATAGGAGACAGAAAGAGAACAGAAGAGATTTGATGGGGAGTTGGGATACAAGATGAAAACCAGGATTGTCTGGATGAAGAAATCAGGTATTGCTAAGAGAGATGAGGGTACTAAAGAGTGCCGTGAAGTCTGCACCTGACCTTTTTGCACATCAAATAAAGTAAAGGTCTGGTAGTAATCACTCTGTGATCACGTAGTTAGGAATTGTATCATAATCTGAAAAAAGGGGTATCAAATTCTGTTTGCATATGAGAATTCAGTTGTCATTTCCTAACTTCATGTACTTGAGTTTTCAACCACAGCGATGTTCTATTGATGTAGTTTTTGTGTGTAAGGCTAGATATTACAGAAAAAGAATGGAGAAGATGGAGTCTTAATGAAGTTTTTGTCGCTTCAAGCTTGTACTGACTGCATTGCTCACAAGTGCTTACATGAACAGGAAGCTTTTTTTCCTAGTTTCTTTCTAGTGATGACATTTATTAAAAAAACCCCTAATAGGCACAAATAACATGTCAGATGCCTAGATGTCTTTTATGCCATTGGAGGTCTCAGAATGTTATGACGCCCCAAACCATTTGTATTTGTACAATGGCTACAGTTAGAATAGGATTCTGCCATCAGATTTGGTGTTTGCTCCCTGAAATAATACTCACAACAGGTACTCTCCCTTTTGAGAATTTTTGAAGAAACTGGGGTGCTAATGAATCATATCTTTTGAAGAATATTTTGACAGCATCAGTATAACAGGGCATGAACAGGAAGACAATCCTGTCCACCAGCATACACATGGTAAAGGCTGAGATGCAAGTGACACCTGCATGACAAATTGGGTGCTAGCAGATACATCTGTCATTGCTTGATTTCCATCCATCTGCCCCATTACTTCAGTAGATCAATTGTTTTATATACTAGTAATCAGGTGCACACAATGATTCTTTTGATAATCTCTCTCACTACTGTTGAGCAGATTTAGACTCAGAACAAAGAAAGTTGTGGCCTACCCTTCGTGCAGTAACTTGTAGCAGAATGTCCATATAACTAACTTAAGGTGACAAAATATCAAATCCAGCAGAGCTGCGAACAGAGCATACTGTCTTAAGACATTAGAAGGCTGATTTGAAAGAGGAATTACACCAGCTGAATTAATATTATGTTTCAGTCGATTTTCTAGACCTATGTTCCTTCTGCTAGGAAAGGAGGTAGCCTTTGGGAAAATACTAATTTTCAGTTTCCTCTGCTGCAAAGAATAGCCTCAGAAGAAGGACATGCTTGAAGCCATTTGTCGCAAAATGGGTTGGCCAGAGAGCTTAAGACTTCACAATTATGCCTCAGATATTCAGTGCAATGGAGTTTCAGCACAGTGTACATCCCTGATATAACTGATGCTTAATGTGCTACTTCAAAGGCATCCTTTGAAGAAAATTTCAGTAGACCTGTCCACAGGGTAGTTGTGCAGTTCCACACCAAGTCTAGAGAGAAAGTGACACTTTCTACCCTAGAATCTTCACATATATTGGACTGATTAACATCCCTTGAATGACAGGATTACACAAGGTCAGTAGCCCCACAACTCTGTACTTGCCAATTAATTTTGATGCAAACATATAGATACCTTTTCTTTTTTGATACCTTCTTCTTCCCTTATTTTTGTAAACAAAAGTTTAAAACTCAGAAGATAATGTCAGCAGACCCTGGGGCATCTGCCTTTCTCTGGAGACTGAAGATGAGTATCTCAAAACGATGTGTCAACTTCTTCTTAGCAGGCTGCTAACTCTAGGAGTCTGAAAGCAATATGCTTGCTTCTATTAGGTGTGTGTCATTTCACCAGGGACAGAAAGATAGGGACTTATTTTGTAAATTGGATGAAGTGGGAAGAGTAAATGCAGGAGGACAAGTAGTTAATCGAAATTACTAAGAAATACAATACTAAAAATATCCTGTTCCCAACAGTTTAAATTCACACCTACTCCTCTCTGAGCAGGAAAGAGAAAAAAGAAATTTCCATCTTCAGCTTTCGAAACTTCATCTGCCTCCTGGGTACTGAGCACCAAATCTTCAGCTGGCAGGTGTCGGCAGACAGTGCTGAAACCTTACCATATTTCTGAAGGATCCATTCTTCAACACCAGACTGCCAACTTGAGTGTCAAAATCCCAAATGACTCTCAGCACTACTTGAGGGCAAACAATCACAACAATTCCCTGGGGAGCTTGCGCAATGTTGTCAGCCTGAGAAGGCTAAGCTGGGTAGTAGAGCAAACCATTCTGCAGATGGGTAGAGTGCACACTTCATTCCTTAGTCTCTTCCTGTAGCTACTATGGCTGTTACCAGCTCTGCCTCCAGTACTGCTGCTCAAACCTGTTGCTTTCCTGAGACCTAGACATTAGTTCCTGATGAACCACATCAGCAGTACATTGGCTATTTAAACCTGGGGGATGACAGTGTCAAAGCAAACCAGACACCATAAATTATACTACAGAGTGGACTTGGAGGGGCTGGTGAGCAAAGAGGCAGGAACCAAAGAGTTGCATCTTGTACTTATAAAATTCAGGTGAAATCAACACAGCAGTACACCAGGCTGGAATGTAACTGGTGGAAAAGTGGGCACAAATGTCTCTTTGACTGGTTAAGGCTATTAATGAGAAAAATTACATAGCTTCTAACTGGCATGCATGTTAAAAACTATGCCCCAAACAAATGGAAATTAGATAGGATTCTGAACATGCCGTGTAACATGAGTCCACATAAACAGGACTCAGAGGGAGAGGAAATTACAAGTGAATTTTAGCAGTCACTGCAAATTATCTCAAATAGGTTCCTTATGTTTACATGTTTTTGTGATGTCAAGCTGCAGGAGCTCAGGAATTTTCCAGAGCTTGTTGCAAGTGCTGTGGCTCAGTGGAGGTCTAAGACTCTTTGGGACAAGATTGAAGATCCCATCTCTAGCCTCAGTGAGTCACCAAAGACTATGAGTGCTGAGACCTCAACTCTGAAAAAGCTATACAGACATGATAAACACTGCATGCTGCCAGTTTTCCCAGAGAAATAAAGAAGGCTTTATAGGAATATGTAAACCTTTGCAGCAGACCAGCCCCAGGTGTGGACCAGGTAGGCTGTGGTCCAGCAGGCTGCTTTGTCTATGCCAGGGCTGTGGAAAACCAGGTTGGCTGCTGTGACTGCAGCTGTCACCACCCAGAGAACAGGCAGGATGTCTGATGTGATGTCCACTGCTGGGTTTCGGAGGCTTCTCCAGCAGTGCTGTGTCCAGCAACATACTACCCACCCTCTCGGAGTTGCTGGTGGTGGACACTTTTCACATGGTCTACAGCCTGTCTCCCTCCAATTCCTTTCCCATAGCAACAGCAGCCCCATCCTTAGTCCCTCTGCTTTGAGGCAGAAACATTGCATTTTGCATATGTTGTGAGAAGTGTTGAGCTGGCTCTGCTTTGCAGAACTGGGGCTTACATGTATACCAGAAACCCCCTCTGATTTAATTATAAAAATTGGTGTGCCCTGTTCACCTCTTTGGTAGGTTTTGACAAACAAACAAACAAACAAACAAAAAAGGCAGCTTCGTAAGAGATTTGGAATGCTGGAAAGCGACCCAATCTGGGACAATACAGAAGGCGAGTGAAAAAAAAAAAAAAGGCAGCTTCGTAAGAGATTTGGAATGCTGGAAAGCGACCCAATCTGGGACAATACAGAAGGCGAGTGGAAATCAAATGTGCATGAACCATTTATCGTTATTAGAGATTATTAGGTAGGATCGCTACATATATTTGTACACTTAAATGCTTTTTTTTTAATTCTAGGAAAAGCTTACTACATTTTTCTCTATCAAGACATGCTACCTAAAGGTATTTCTCTTATTAGTTCTGGGTGAGAGACAAGTAATTTCATACAGTGCTGTTCACATTCCATACAACTAAACTCACCACCTTTCTTAAAGCAACAGTCAAAACAACCCGCCCTCCCAAGTAGACAGATCCATAAATTCTTTAAAACCTTATCTCATATTCACATACACACAAAATAAAGGTCTCACTGTGTTCTGAACTGTGAGACTCGGTGAATGAGTGATGCAGAATCGCCTCCTAGAATTGCAGGGTCTCCACTGAAAATACACGTGAGGTATGTCTCATCAGGCACTGAATCTCTCCACCAATTTTGGTAGGAATCGGCTCTGTTCCCCTATGCTTACCAGTCCCTTTATTTGAAAAAAAGAATTCAACAGTCTAACTGATTATCACATAAGTAATTGTTTCAGAGAGAACCAAAAGATGTAAAGAAGAACTAGTTAGGTGGAATCTACTACTGGTGTTATGAAAACATTGCTTTGGGAAATAAGTTCTTAAGTAGTAATCTGTATGTGATACAGAGCTAGTTTTTCAGTTTGACACATGTTCTCTTCAGAGGGGAAAAAGAAATCAACCTGACTTCTGTACTTCTATAGTTATAAGAACCTCTTTTCCAAATTTGTGATCTTCTCACTTCATATGTTTCCAGATTCCCTTGATTTGTTAAAGCAGTAATTCATGGGTGCAAGTGGAAACATCTGGGCAGTGGGAGGGAGTAAAAGGTAGCCAGAATAAAGAACAATTGTGTGGAGCACAGACAAGGCGCTGAAGAACTTTGCTGCTTATTTCTTGGTTGTTGTTTTTTTTTTTCTTTATGGCTTGCGTTGGTGGGATTTACAGTCTAAAATCTTTAACTCACTGTTAGTGCTGGTTCTCATCTGGGAATATATACATTTAAATGCTCATACTGTTGTAGGCACTGAAAATTAGCAACCTTTTTTTACACTGCTATTCTATAAAAAGCATAGGGAATGCCCATAAGAGCATCTTTTCCTTTAGCAAAAAGACACAGCCTGATTAGAACATTATGTAATCTTAATACGCATTTGGTATCTTTGGTATCTAACTCAGAACTCAAGTCCTAAGATGCTGGTGGTAACGGCACGCTGGAAGACGTAAAATTGCCAACCTGATGACTTTTTCATGGGTCGTCCAGAACTGATGGGTATTGCTAGATGAGAAGGAGCACATGGGAGGGGAAGAAAGGTAAGTAAAAGAGTCACTGTTGCTCCTTCCTCTATGGTTATGACAAGAAGCCAATGCCCAGCCATAAGCAGGGACAGGTTGGTGGAGGATTAGGAATACTGACAGATACCTGGCCTCCAGAGGAGGTTGGGAGTGTCTGAGCAAGAAGATGGTCTTTGAATGCAAGTTCCCCAAAAGTGAGTAAATAAAAATAAGCATTAAGAACACGTGAGGGAAAAAAAATTGGGGGGGGGGGAAGAGAGGGGTATGGCAGGGAGAAGAGATTGCAGGATGGTGAAAGAAAAGGTGGAAGTGGACAATGGAGCCAGAGACCTATGCAAAAATAAACGCAAAGGATGAAGGAAAAAGAGATTTTGCTGTTTCAGAGAACTGAAGGAAGTAATTAAAATGAAATCTGGGAGAAAATCATAGAGAAGAAGCAGGGAAGACAAAACATCTTCTGAATTGCAGCCCACAGATTTCCCAGTGCAATGAATGGCTAGCTCAACAAATCTCATCCAATTTGTGGAACATTCAAAATACCTTTAGTTAATTTTGTAACCTCCTCCCTGGAAATGCAGTACACTTTCTATGCCACTAAAGATGTGTCTCACAAGTGGAAGTAGTGATTAATTTGACAAGTAATTAACTATTGAGCCCAACTGTCCCATCAGTAACCGACTTGAATAGAGAGACCAGTGAATGTGATGACAGGCAGTGGAACATTAATGAGTAAAATAATGATAATCCTATAGAGGTTAAATAGGAATGACAAAACAGCTATGTTGGCTCTTGCCCACTCTGAGCTTGTGCACTGAAGAGGTGTAGTCAGTCAGTCTCCAAATGTTACATACATTTGTAACATGTATTCATGTTACATGTATTCATGTTACATGTATTCATGTTACATGTTCCCGCCATTGTGCAGCGGGAGAGATATGACTTAGTCACCATCACAGAAACATGGTGGGGTGACTCTCATGATTGGAGTGCTGCAATGGATGGCTATAAACTCTTCAGAAGGGACAGGCGAGGAAGGAGAGGTGGTGGGGTGGCCCTGTATGTTAGGGAGTGTTTCGATTGTCTAGAGCTCAACGATTGTGATGATGGTACGGTTGAGTGTTTATGGGTAAGGATGAAGGGGAAGGCCAACGAGGCAGATAT